ATTGTGTTGTATTTTGTTTTATGCTTCTGATCATAGAATGACTACTTTTGCGTACAAAAGTTTTTTTTCATCCATCTGGATGGGAGGGTATTGTCATAGTGTGCAACAAACAATATATTTTTGTTGTGCACTAACAAGCAATTAATTAGCTTTCTTTTAAATTGATAATCCCCCTGGTCCAGTTAAACAACGGTGGTTAGCATGTCTTTGTCTGGATTATAATCTTCCCAATTAGAAACGGATTAAATACTTTAGTATGCACGCTCATTGGTAACCAAAATTAGCATATAAACCCAGAAACTCAAGAAGCATAATCATTATTATCCCATGAAGGCATTAAGACATTATATGTTAACAACCTCTTCTTATTATTAGGTAAGCCATGCTATGTTCAATATATTTCATTTTCATTATATTATTCAGCTACATAGTACGCTGATTATATCTTTCATGTAAATTTTTATTGTTAGCTTATGTTCAGTTAAATATTATGCTGATGTAAGGTTTTAGACATTTTAAATATATATTTTTAAAATAGAAATGCATAAAGTACATACTCGTACATAGCAGTATAATTGATACAATAGTCGTGTGCTTATGGCATCATGTGTCCGTAATAACTAATTATGAAAATAATATTTCTAGAACGCTGATGGGTGATAATTAAAAAGTTTGAGATGCTTTCTCATTATTAATGTTGGTTATGACGTAACCATATTACTAGAGATCTGAACGCGAACTTTTAAGTTATTTGTTCCTGACATTCAATATGAACACGAAAGGTTATTTTATCGAATGTGAACGATCATTAATACTTCGTACAAGAGTATTATCATTGATGATAATTAGTGTAATTCAATTATTATACAATTACCGTTATCTTTATAATTACATAATTGCATATTTTCATAATTGCATATTTATTTTCATAATTGCATATTTATTTTCATAATTGCATATTTATTTTCATAATTGCATATTTTCATAATTGCATAATTACTATATATATTGTATAATCATTATTATCTATTGAAGATATTAAAGACATTATATGTTAACAACCTCTTCTTATTATTAGGTAAACATTGTGAGAACTAGTGACAAATAACCCAAGGGTTGCGTCACATCGACCAAGACAAGATAAGGGCACGTTCTCACACCTATTCGGGTGTTCAGTAGTTATGAATATCGGTTACACTTGTTAGATGTAGCTCTTTTAGTTGGTTTCCCTTGCAATTGTATTACATTTTATAAACTCTAGAGTCGTTTTCAGTGGTCAATGGTGCAGGATGGAGGACGTCTAGTTACTGAGATGGGACGAAAAACGGAGGTCCCGTGTACTCATTGGCAGTTGGAATACTAATAAGTGTAGGAGGAAATTTTCTGGGGCAGGGTGTTCGGAACCCCCTTCCCATGGCGGGATCCTAATTCTGACGATAGCCTGTCCCATAATGTGCCCCAGTTCGCATATAACCAATTTAAGTGGTTATAACTTGCTATGGCTAGCATGGGTATAAAATGGTATCGCACCAGTCAAAATTTTACTCTGTGTATATGCCAATGTGCATTGTTTACCATTTTTCTGGTATTTACGAAGAGTAAATTTAAGGTCATCTGAAGCCAAACTAACAATATAAGTGAAACCGCACGTGGATGTTTATTCCGTTATATTTTATAGTCTACAGGTGGGGACTATTGTATATAAGTATGTAATTAATGACTATCAAGATCAGCTGTAAGCTAATGTACTTACCATTTTATAAAAACTTGACATCCATATATGAAATCTTTAATTAAACATGTTATGCACAGCTCAGATATCATTTGTTCAATGTCGACCTGTGTATGTTAAACTTTGTAATTCATACACATCACTGGATAATGTTGATAATACCATACATATGTTGCTGTATACAGAGTAATAGGTGAATCAGCTGGAAGAAAGTATCTATCTATGAAATCAATAATATATGTTTGATATAACATATCACAATGTAACATCTTGCTATAATAGTAATAAATTATTTACAAATCAAATAATGTTGTTATTTGTGAACCTAGACTTGTTAGTATTAACATATTTTCTATATAATCACACCTGTAAAGGTGAAGAGAAATGGGGTTAACATCCACTCGACACCAACTATTTCATTTCGGAACTAATATATGGTTTTTAATTTTATGTCAGTATTTCGCTTGTGTGTAGGGGTCTTTAGCATTGGAAGCAAACCGGGGGACCCAGAAAAAACTATCAAGGTTGGACAGGCGACATAGAAGCAGGGAATTTATACCCCACCACTTGAATCAATGACATCATTGACATACGCGTTAACCAATGTGCCACCTACCCACCCCCTTGGATGTAAAGGAGACTATATCTATGATTAAGAGGTGACATAATGGAATTGAAATGGGGTTTAATGTCCTACCCTTTGCACCAACAGGCATGATTCACCATGCAGTGTGCTATGAGGGAGGAAATTTTACCTGGGTAGCGACGCTTTCATCTATTCTTTACTGAATTCCATCTGTCAAGGGTAATTCTTTTAGGAGCACACCAATAAGTATACTGGTGGATCTTGGTTTTTCATCCCATCAGAACAACTAGACGCTTGACCATGTGCCATGTCACTGACGAGGGGAAACCAGGCTGGAAAATCCTGGCTAAAGTAAGAATGGACATTTATGTCAAAAGAGCAGAGTGAATAAATGTATTCACAAGTCCAACAGATTTTTTATTTTTATTTATTTATTTTTTTTGGGGGGGGGGGGGGGTTGGGGGGTCTAGTGTGTGTGCGTTAGATCATGTCAAGTGGCATGGTTTGAATAACAAGTTTGTATGTGAAAGAGTAGGGTCCCTGCCCAACCTCAAGGGTTTTCTCTCCTAACTTCCCTCTAACAGATTTTGTAGTGGTATCAGGTCTTCTAAAAATGGTAACAAGTATATATATATAGATACACACAGGCTTGTGCATGGCATCCACCTATGAGGAGTGTTATCAGGTCTTCTATAGGAATGATAATAAGTATAATATACACAGCCCTGTGCATGGCATTAACCTATACTTATAGCTAATTTCAGTGATACACAAACTCCTTAAATGAGGAGTGTTATCAGGTCTTCTAGAAAGAGTAATAAGAGAGAGAGAGAGAGAGAAATTGGGTTTAACTCCACTCTCACAAACTAGGTCATTTCGGGACTAACACATGGTTCAATTTTATTTCAATAATTCAATTGCGCGTAGGGGTCTTTACCAGTGGGAGGAAACTGGACCCAGAGAAAACCCACAAGGTTGGATCCGGCCAGAGAGAGGGAGAGAGAAATGGGGTTTAAGTCCACTCGACACAAACTAGGTCATTTCGGGACTAACATATGATTTAATTTTATTTCAATAATTCGCTAGCGCGTAGGAGTCTTTAGCAGTGGGAGGAAACCAGAGGACCCGGAGAAAACCCACGAATTTGGACAGGCGACCCTACTCCTTGTCACGTACAACCGGGGATTCGAAACCACGCCAGTCGACTCAATGACAGACTTCATGATACAGCGCGCGCACGCTAACCATTCAGCCATCCAACACCCCCCCCCCCCCCCCCCGGCCAGAGAGGTTAAAGAGGTGCTTACTGGTGCTAATAGGGGACTAACTGGTTATGGTTAAATCATCTGTGGTCTGTTTAAAGTATAATAAATAAATGCTAACTTACCTTATTAAATGGTCTAATTTCAACAAATAATTGGATCAACATTATCAGTTATTGATAATTTACACACCTGCTGCATTCTACTCAAATTAGGAAATTTTAACAGGTAAGCATGAAAACATTTACCAGATAATGCCAATTATTTTTTTCAGCTAACAAGTGGTTGCCATACAACATACATCAACATTTTGCAAGAGATGGACAGAGAAAGAGCTCAAATGAAAAAGTGATTTTTCGTACAATCAGTGTCCATATCCAGGAAGTTGGGGTCCCAGATGTTTGGGACACAAACATATATTTTAAGTTTAAACAATATTGGATAAAAATTGTGCCATGCAACATAGGTCAACATTTTGCAAGAGATGGACAGAGAACAAGCTCAAATGAAAAAGTGATTTTTCGTACAATCAGTGTCCATAATCCAGGAAGTTGAGGTCCCAGATCTTTGGGATACAAACATATATTTTCAGTTTAAACAAAATTGGATAAAAATTGTGACCTCTAGAGGGTCCATAACTTTGGTATTACTTACTTTTACATTATATGTTCAGGAGGAGCGGCCATTTCCAGTACGATAAATCTGAACAGACGTCCGGACAGACAGAAGTGACGACAATATACGTCCACACGAAAATCTGTCAATGAGAAAGGTCCATGGTACTTTACAGGTTAGAGAGGCATAATCAGTACCAGATAAAGGAAGTTGGAGAGGGGCGGGAGGGGGGGGGGGAGAATGTGGGACATATGTCAGAAGTGGGACACATTTTGGGGTTGAGATAAAGTTCAAAAGTTCCATTTACTCGCCCAGAATATAAATCTGAATGCACCCAATCAAATCTTTTTTTCAAAATGTTCTGGGAAACGATTGCCCCCCACCCTCCCTCTAAGCTTTGAGGCTATGCACAGCGATGTTTTCAAGCTTTTTTCTAACACCAGCCTCTGCCCAACGTATCCAACTTCCTGGGCCTCCGACAAGGTTAATCTGGCCCTGGGCACCCACAACCGTGGGTATAGTTCTTAGTATATCATATAATAACTAAGAGTGTTTATTGTAGTTATTACACAAATTGCTAATTTCTAAATGAAGTACTCAAAACTAAACACGATGTCCCCAAAACTAAATGATTGTATTTAAACTAGACTAGTTAAGTAACCTTATGCTTTCTGTGAATAATAAACAATTTTCACAACTTTCTAAACAGTCGTCTTGTATTTAAACATTGCCTCAATGTTATCAGTCTCTAGTGTAATACACCAAGTAAGTTTTCTTCATGAATAATAAACTAGTCACACTTCAATGATTTTCAAGATCTATTTATTTACAGTCTTATATAACATAACAGATAGTACATGTAATAATAATACAAAGGATAAAAGTTGGGGTTATTATAATTCTATCTCCCTGCTTGAATAAGAGAATGTCTGAAAAAGATCAAAAACTATTTGTATCTTTATTTGAATAGGCAGAAACTCAAAGGAGCTATACTGAACTGTTATTTAGGTCAAAGTAAACTGTTGAATTCGGTTGATCTGACATATTATATAGATTAGGGATGGAACAACGTTGATACATTTAAATTTTCAGTTAGAAATATTGAAACAAAATTAGTTTGTTTACTTATTTTAGTTTCATAGTTGGTTTACTGTGCCAATTATATCTCAACATTGGCTCTATCTGTGAACATTTTAAACATAAACAGATACTTTCTTTACAAAACCAATCAAGACATCAGAGTTTATTATATCAGCAATTTCATTTGTTTAAAAATCAAATTTGGTCATTTTAAAGATGGGTTCCCAGAAAAGTATTTATCTGGTGGTTATTTCTAATAAAAGTATGGCAATTTTGGTATATATGGAAAGTAGAGATATCCAATCTTACTAGAAAAATACTGGATTCCCCGAAAAACACTCATGGAGCGTATACAGGACAAAAATGTAAGGGTTCCCCTAATCAACAGCCCGACGATTAGGAACTTCTGCACGCGTGATGTCAAAGGTCACAAGCGAACATTGAGCGCTTGATGTACAAGTTGATAAACTTTATGAAGAGTTAGACGTACAATACTTTCTGAGATAAAAATGACGGAAAAAGACGCGGGTAGTGGATAATCGGAGAATTTAATTAGGATTCGATATTTGTAATAAATAGTAAGCGATTAAAGACAACATCGTCTTATGTATGCAATGAATTCTCCTCTGACTCCCAAGACGTGACGAAAACATGACCTGGTTTGATCGATTTTTAATAGCAGGGCATTCCTTCGCAATTACAATGTTTGAGAAGGATTTGAAGCATAATTATGACAAATTAATTAGTTTGAATATGTTTTTGGCCCATATATACCATTAGATCACCCAGTTTGTATGCGGCAACCGATCTTTAAATAAAAGGTTGTCTCAAATAAATCAACTTCAACAATAATAATGACCCAGCCATGGGCATGTCCAGAGTCTATTTTTTTTCTCATAAATTCATTGAATTACCGTCAAATAAACAAACGTGCAAAGCATTGTCTCAGTTTTGGGCTCACTTCACTCTAATCCTATACATGTATGTAGCTAAATGAGCAGAAAAATTGTATCAGACTTATGATTTTATACAATTCCCTGGTATTCATGCAGAGCTCGTGCCAAACTTAACGTTTTCTACACACTGCCTTCTGCTCAAATTATTGAACACATCCCTCAAGCCTTACATTTCCACTGATATAATTAAATACTAACATAAATATGTAACAATTTAGCCTTAATAAAAATATTTTAAAACAAATTCAAGGACATGACTGGAGCACAATTGCTTAATAACAATAATAGACTAGAACAGATTATAGTTATAGTTATCTATTATTAAAATGTTGTAAAGAAATAACTAAATTTAATAAAGTTTTAAATCCCTATAAAATTCAAATTTCCATTACATTTAGCTATTATATTCTTTTTTATCAACAGAGAAGCTAAAGTTTAAACATACATTTGACAAAAAAAGTTGAAAGTTATTTGATAAAGTGACCACTTTTATAAATAGATGATTTTCAGTCTTGTTTGAGAGAGATGCTTTAATCTTGAAATTTTGAATATAATATCAGACAATCTGATTAAAATACAGATCTATATTTCGTTTCGTTTTTTTTTATACTTTCGATGATCTACACTTCATGAAGATCTGACCAGTTGTTTTGGGAGGTCGCGTCAGGTCATTTGAGTGACTTTTGACCCTATGATGTCAGACATTTGATTAACCAATCAGCATTGATGTTTCTAGTGGATTACCCACTGTTCTGTGCACCTCACACCAAAAGCTCTTCATAACAGACCGTTTCTTTAGCTAATCCCTCACATCATCCAGAACACGTCAATGATAACAACTCTTCCAACTCCTAGTGTAGTAAAGACAAGTAAAACCAAATTTTGAACTATAAAAATTAAACAAAAAAGGATCTGTGTTTTAATCAGATGATGATGACAACAAGCGAGATGGATGTTTTCACGATGTGAGAACTAATAAAAACAAATAACATGTTAGTGCCTAGTTGTGTTGAGGCAAAGCTGGTTAACGTGTGTTTCTGTATACCTACTTTATGTAGATGTTTTATTGCAGGATTTTTTTTACAGAGGTGGGGCCAAGGTAAGGGCCTTAGAAAAAAAATTCAAAGCCATATTGAATAATTGACAGGTTTGCGACCCCAAATCGTACGTTTTTTAATTAATTAAGTAATTGCCATGAATTTATGTATCTTTTTGGAGGGAGTTTGCACCCTCCATACCAACTGAAAGATCCTGGTGATGAAACATGATTTATGTCAATTCCCCACAGCAGATAATATAATGCCAATTACCAATATCTTTACTAAATACTATTATATAGTCAAAATTAGCAGTAGTATCCCAATAACTGACAATTAATATACAGTACTATACTTATATTAAATACCGGTAGTCAAATATAATTAAGATATAACATAATTAACACAATAATATATACATGTATTACAAGGTTTTTGTAAGACAATAAAACATAAATATAATAATAATAATAAGATTCTGGTTTGATCATTTCAAAAGTTGATTAAAGTTGACATTATATATATATATATATATATATATAAACTCAAAAATTTCTGATAATGAATTAAAAAATATTTTGTTTTTGAAACTGGATTGTGCTCCTAATACATTATAACAATAATCTTGTTGACATTAAAGGCCCAGTTCAAATTGCAGAACAAATATACTTTCATCAAGTGTTGGAAACCTCTAATCCATCAGAAATGTGCAGTGTATAAAAACCACTGATCTAATCCATCAGAAATGTGCAGTGTATAAAAACCACTGATCTAATCCATCAGAAATGCACTTGAATAGTAATAATTATTTGAAATTATTCTGTTTTCTATGTTGCGGATGAAATACAAAAGTCGTTATCCCCACCCAAAATGGAGTATATACATGTTGAAGGAGGGATTAGAATAAAGACAGAGCTTGTTTTAGGTTCTGTTATTAAAATTACTGCACACTATTTAGTCACAGCCGTTAAAGGTTGGGTTATACGGGAGGAATAATTTACGAGATCAATTTTATGTTCAGTTCTATCGGTCCCCTCCCCCCTCTCCCTATATATTCAAAATAATTACCAGTTGATTTAATTAGATGTTAACCTGTACCTTTAAATTAAATAATTATATTATTTAATTAAATTTAATCAACTAGTTATACTAGTGTAGGCATATATATATAATTATTACATAATACATGAATTAACATTAATTAAAATAAATAACTACTTCTTGGTACATAGAAAAAAGATTGTTATCTTGTGTAGCTGGCCCCACACAAAAAGATATGGACTCTAATATCAGTTAACCATACTCTTGTGAATGTTTAATAATCTCAGCTGACAATTTCTAAAGTAATTATGTACCGTAACAGTTCCAGTGCACATACATTTGTCAGCAGAAGCATGTCTAAAGTCTACAACTATGAATTACAGTAATAATTATCTTTTAGAGGCATTTAGTAACTGGATAGAGCAATACACAAAAACACATACTTATGGAAAAACAATTAAATCCGATTTATTTTTCATTTGCTATTTATCAATCATGCCCTTCAGAGCAGCATAGATTGATTGATATTGTTGGCAAGAAATTAATATAAATAAGATTATACAAATATCAATCTACATGATTCTAAATTCTGATTTTCACCCTAGCTCTCTAATGCATAGTGGGAGAACAGTTGGTAGTACAGGTACAGACCTATCTATTATCAGAGACCTGCTCAATATCTAAATGACAATAAAATTGTCCTTTATCTACTGATTAAGTATATAGTCTTAGAATACATTTTATTTCTAACTACCATTCTCCCAAGCAGAGTTGTCCTTCCTTACAAAATAGCGGGATATGCATTGGAGAATGCCTAAATACTAATGCACACAATCGTTTTAGCCATCATAGTCTTGTCAAAATACACCAATATAGGGGTCAACCCACCACTATAATTCCTTTAGAAGTTTTTTTGGTACCAACTTGTAAAATCCATTGAAATCCACTTAGGGATTTTGGAGTTACAACTTGGCAATATAAAAACTTCTTAAGGAATTAGTGGTGGGTCTATCAGTATTTTGACTACTAGACAATCTGAGACAAAGACTTGGTGAGGAAGTTGATGGATATTTGAGAATATTTATTCAAGCTTAAAATTCAATTCATTCAAGTTTGATTTTTCAATCATCTATTTTATTGTCCATTTTTGTTTTGATCTTCAAGAATACAACAAGAATTGATTGTCTTATTATCACGAAGATTACAAAGTAAATTAGTCATTAATGTACTATCAGTTCATTCCTTGGTTTGTCCAAATAGATTTAGTTTTGTTTAATTTTGATCTTCTAGTTCGATATATTTTACAGGACTGATAGTCTTATCATGAATATTAGAAAGTAAATTAGTCAATAATACACAATCAGTTCATTCCTTGGTTTGTCCAAATAGATTTTGGTTTGTTTAATGTTGATCTTCTAGTTTTACAGCAGTCAAAGGATTGATTGTGTTATCATGATGATTGTAAAGTAAATTAATGATTATCAATAAACAATACACAGTCCGTTCACTCCTTGGTTTGTTGATATAGATTTAGGTAGATGAAAAGATGTTTAAAACATTCAAATTAATCCCATTTAATCCAGAATTTATTCTGATGTTTTCAGTTGAATTTCTTCTTTGTTGCTGTGAATCTTTCCATATACTGTAAAAAAAAAAAGAAAGTATATTATAAACCCTGTCACAATAAAATGAACTGAACTAAGTATCAGTCGATTTCGTGAACCCACCAGATTGCAATATGTTTTGATAAAAGATAGATTGCCAGGCAAGTAAACACACACTCAAAGCAGTCCATAAACAAAAATCTTTATACTGCTTAACATCTGACAAAATCCTATAACACAATTACGGACAATAACTCTATACAATATCAGGAATTTAATATGTTTTTTTGTTTCGCTAGTTTGAACTGAACAATGTACATAAATTTTGAACAGATCGGATGATAACCTCTTGTAAGAGTGTTCACAAGATTCTACAGGTCAAAAACTATTAACGGTATGAAAAATTACTGGAATTCAATAGGATTCTTTCTCTCACCAATATAAACAGCATACATGTATATAAATTTTATAAAAAGGACCGGATCATGAATATAGGGTGTTCACAAGAAATAGCCTCAGAGAAATGATATTTCAATAGCAAGAAAATTAGTTAGGCTATACAAAAGATAAATCTAATGTGGGAGGGAGGTTTTTATTTTTGTGTTTTTGTGAAAAGATCATTACTAGGCTAAATGACTTCTAAATGACTTATCTCATCACACTGTTTATAGGAATTTATAATTATCCAGTATCATTCATTAATGCCAGTATCATTTATTAATGCCAGTATCATTCATTAATGCCAGTATCATTTATCAGAATTGCGTATTTGATAAATGAATCTACAGTTTACTTCTAGTTTTATTCAAATTGATTCCAGTAATTGAGGGAAAATATTTATATGAAGTAATTGTTGAAATTGTTTAAGGTTATATGCCCCCTATTTAATTGACATGGGAGCATCTAAGAACTAGAATATTGTTTTTGTATGGCCTTAATTTATTTGTTCTCAAAAGATCAGTTGTTTGAATATTACATAATTTCCAAAGTAAGTTTTTGGTCTACATAGTCTAAACTGAGAATTATTTTTCTTGCCTGAAGGATTGTCAAATAAAAAGCAAAAAGATTTCATACCTCATCGTAACCTTCAATGTTATGGAATGCTTTCATATCAAAAACATTGCCTTCTATAGCAAACAGGGCAATATTTGACTCTTTGAGAATTTTTGGCGTAAATGCTTTTAATTCCAGACAATTTTCTTCCAGTCTAATAACTTTAAGCCTTGGACAACTGGCTATACTTTCAGGTAAGGTAGACACCTGCAACATAATCACATTTATATGTAAGAAGAATGGTAGTCTCCCTTTAATTATATATATGACACTATAAGGTCTGATTTTCTAATTGCTCAATCATGTCAATGAACATATACTGAACGCCATAGAAAACGCATCACTTAGTTTTTCGTATAACAAAATAATCCTGTAAACATATCTTATTTATTTTGCTTCTTATTGTGAACAATATTCAAATGGGAACACATCAATAACAACACATTTGTACAGATGTCAGTAGCGCGTGTGTCCTCCACGGGCTCTTACGCACGCTGTGCAGCGATATCGCATGGAATTTACCAATGTTTGAAAGAAGGCCTGGGGCAAATTGTTCCATTCTTGGACAAGAGGAGCTTCTAAAGCAGCAATGGTGTGCATCTGTGGTCTCCGATACAGACGGCGTCCAATCTCATCCCAGACATGTTCTATCGATGCCATGTCCGGAGACATGGCTGGCCAGTCCAAGACATTGATGTTGTTAGCAGCCAGGTAGTCCATACTAAAACGGGCGGTATGCGGACGTGTATTATCCTGTTGGAAGTGCTGAAGTTGTGGGTGCGCTCGAAACATCGGAACAACAATTGGTTGCAAGACATCATCACGGTAGGCTACAGCATTAACGCGACCCCTGCAAATGTGTAGGGCTGTCCGGTGATGAAATGTGAAGCCTCCCCACACCATTAAACTTCCCCCACCCCATCAGCAAGACATTCCCCAAGACGTCTCCACACACGTTGACGGCCATCAGCGTGATAAAGATGAAAGTGACTCTCATCACTGAAGAGCACACTTTGCCAGTCTACTCTTCTCCATGTCTGGTGTCCTTGAGCCCATATCAAACGCCACTGACGGTGATGATCCCTGAGGATAGCTCCAACATAAGGTCGTCGTGCATGGAGTCCAACATTTCCTAATATGTAAACCGGTGCCTCATCGCAATTGTATAGGCGTAGGTACATATCACTTACCGTCATACAGCCGAGGCCAGATGTAGAGTAACGGAATCTGCCGAGGTTTGCCGAGTGATACTTATAATTCATAAACTTAAAACCTTAATTTGGAACTACATACATGTATATACAAAACAACCTGATATTACAATTATTTGTTGAGAAAATGTTTGTGTCACATCAGTAAAAGAAAGAGAACTCAAAAAAAAGACAAGAGAGAGAGAGAGAAATGGGGTTTAACATCCACTCGACCAAACTGAAATTTAATAGGATTGTTCTGTTTACTAACTTGAATGGCACATATAAATTTCATACAGATCGGCAGATAACTTTAGAGGTTAGAGCCTAGAAGGGCCATAACTCTAGAAGTAATTGACGGAAACTGCTGAAATTCTATATTCTTCCTTCTTTCACTAAATTAAATCATGCATATAAATTTCACAAAGACCGGGTGATAACTTTCGGCATTAGAGCGTTCACAAGGTTCAATAAAGTGAAACAAAGGCCATAACTCTAGACCTAATGAACGGAAATTCCTGAAATTCAATAGGATTCTTTGTTTCACTAATTTAAATAATGCATATAAATTTCAGAAAGATCAGATGATAACATTTGGCGCTAGAGCGTTCACAAGGTTCAATAAAGTGAAACAAGGGCCATAACTCTAGACGAAATTGAACAGGCTTCTTCGTTTCACTTTCAGAAAGATCGGATGATAACTTTTGGCATTAGAGCATTCACAAGGTTCAATAAAGTGAAACAAGGGCCATAACTCTAGACGTAATAAACGGAAATTGCTGAAATTAAATAGGCTTCTTTGTTTCACTAATTTAAACTAGTTGCTGTAAATAGGGATATAACTGATCACCCTGCCCATTTAATCTGTTATAATAAAATTATAGATTAATAATATAATGAGTATAAATAAATAAATAAACCCTGATTTAAATTACCTGATTTTGATTAAGATTGAGCTCCATAGCCTGAAAGTTACTAACATCATCAGGTAAAGTTGTTATTTTATTTCTAGACAGATCCACTACATCCAGTTGGTTTAAACCACAAACCTCCATTGGGAAATATTTAATATGGTTTCCTGATAGATTTAATGTACGTAGGTGTTTTAAATTTGTGAATGTGCTTGGTAGTGCAGTTAAATGATTTATATCCAATGACAAAACTTCCAGTTTCTTCAAATTACCAATTTCATTTGGCAGGTTTTCTGAAAAAGAAAATGAAATGATTGCAAATGTTTGATCTACTTTCCTGCATGACCTTTAATATGCTACCAATGGTATAAAAGGAACACAAATGATCTTTCCATGCCAGGTTATCAGACCTGCACCACTGAAAAGGGGAAACCAGACTAGAAAATTCCAAGGTCAATAATGGGATCGAACACCATACTCACTAAGCTAGCGTGACTTCTTCTGAAAGACATTCCCTGGTTGTACATGACAAGGAGTATAGTCGTCTGTCCAACCTTGTGGGTTTTTCTCCTGGTCTTCCGGTTTCCTCCCACTGCTAAAGAGCCCTACACGCAAGCGAATTATTGAAATAAAATTGAACCATGTGTTAGTCCCGAAGTGACCTAGCTTGTGTCTAGTGGACATTATCCCCCCCCCTCTCTCTTCTAAAAAAGATCATCTATAAACACTATTCGTTGCTTAGACTACCTATTGATTATTCTATTGTTTTGAATGACAGATTTTATTATGACACTGCTAATTTGTATGGGTAACTACAACATGATTTAAGTACTTCTACAAAAAAACAAAATGCACAATGAAATAAAAGTAATTAGAATCCGGTACTGTTGTACATATCAATTTATTGTTTTAAGGTAATGAAGTACTTTACTTCCATGTCGATCAAATATGGGTGAATAGTTTAGTATAGATGATGTCGGCTCACATCAATGCGATTAAGATGCCCGACAAATGAGGAGGATTAAAATTATAATCATTCTTATTGAATTGATGAATAGTCTGACAAAAGGAAAGCAATGACTTCTGTTTAAGATTAGATTGATGAATTGTCCGACAAAGGATTAAGTCAGTCAATCAAGGCAGATTAAGTAGTTAAATCAAGGTAGGTTTATACTATAGACGGTATAACACGATAAATACGTTGATCACTTAATTACCTAATAAACCCAGCGTATTATCGACGGTAATCGGGTTGAGTGGTAGTTATACACTCAGTAAACTATATTAATTTCGGAATTTTGAATATTATTCACCATGTCTTGATGTCCGATTGGGCATATTCCCGGTCGGACAATTTTGGGCGTTTGGAAAAAAGATTCGGACAAGTCCGGAATATACGGGCAAAATCCCATCACTGGGTGAATATAAATGAGGGTTGGTACATACCGAAAAATTATCTGGAAAAAGCACAATCAGATGTGTGGCCAGGCTCTAGAGTTAAGGTGAATGAGCACATAAAAAAAGGCACCACAACATGTTCTGAATAATTTTAAATTCATTATACCTTATTTTTTTGGTTGGTAGAATAAAATTATGAGTCAAGATAGTTCTTATAAGCCATAAGATAAAAAAAAGCAAGTATGACCAGAAACTGACTATGTTGTTGGATGATACTCAAAAATCTAATTCACCAAATCGATGCAGAATTGTTCAAAGAACAAGCATGCCAATTTTCATGTTGATCGGACTTGAATTGACAGTGCCTAAAGCTTTTTCGAAGAGTGTGACCTCAAGAAGACGATGAGTAGCGGTTAGCGGCCAGTTCCTGGTCCAAAAAGCAATACAAAAGAAATGAGATTCAACTTTTATTACTCAAATGAACTAAAAGAGCTGTGGTCACTCCCCTTGCTCTCCCCCTAACTGGCCCACAGACTTCAATATCATACACTTACCTAATTTATTATTACTTAAACTCAAATTTTTAAGGTTGTCAAATTTGCCAATAAATGATGGTAAATGTTGGAATTTGTTGTCCGATAAATCAAGGGTTCGTAGATTTTTATGGAGGCATTGTAGTTCTTCTGGAAACTGTAAAACAAAACATAACGCTAACGCTACAATATACGTCCACATTCCAATTCTGCTTTTAATGACGAATGACACCCAAACAAATAACCGGTATAAATGCTTGTAACACTTTTATTAATTTTCTCTGGTTACAAAGCGTTCTGAAACGTCAACAAATAACCGGCATAAATGCTTCTAACACTTATTAATTTTCTCTGGTTACAAAGCGTTCTGAAAAATAAGTTTAACAAAGGCTATCAGAAAACACTCACAAAAACCCGAATTTTACATGGGAGACAACTCTTTAAAGCATATCACGCCGAATTTTACATGGGAGACAACTCTTTAAAGCATATCACGCCAGTTTGACATTGTTAGACGGAGTTATCTCCTCCGAACCAAGTGAAACCGAAGTCTGAAATTAAATCCCAATCTGACAAAAGTACTTAATATTCTTAAAAGACAAATTATTAATAATAAATTTGGTACTAAATTATAATAACGAATGACACCCAAACATAAGACTTTTTAAAAATGTACATCCTGAAAACGCACATGTACTTGCAGTTACATGAATTTATAATTTATTTAGTGTGAGAGAGAGAGAGAGAGAGAGAGAGACATTGTCATTGCAGTACCAAAAGGTCTTTAGCAGTGGGAGGAAAGGGGGAGAAAACGGTGGTTTGAAACGTCAACAAATAACCGGTATAAATACTTCTAACACTTACAAAGCGTTCTGAAAAATAAGTTGAACAAAGGCTCTCAGAAACCACTCACAAAAACCCGAATGTTACATGGGTGACAACTATTTAAAGCATATCACGTCAGTTTGACATTGTTAAATGGAGTTTGACATTGTTAAATGGAGTTATCTCCCCAAAATCGGGCATGCACCCAAAAGAAAAGGGACCAACCTCAGGGTATAAGGAATATGTATTTTAAGTTTCAAGATGATCGATTTAGAATTGTGGCCTGTAGGCGACACACAAAAAGAAAATTGGCATGGCTCTGCCCCTGGGGGTTGGGCATGTAGGGCCTACTCCAAATGATAAGGATGTTCCAAATGATAGGAATGTTCCTTAGGGTACAAAGAATAAGTATATAAAGTGTGGCTCTGCCCCTGGGGGTTGGGCATGTACCCCAAACGATAGGGATGTTCCTTAGGGTACAAAGAATGTGTATGCAAGATTATAAGTTAAGAAATGTGGCCTGTAGACGACAAACAAACAAATACTAGAAATGGGCGTGGCTCTGCCCCTGGGGGTCGGGCATGCACCAAAAACAATAGGGATCTTCCTTGGGGTATAAGGAATAAGTATACCAAGTTTGAAGAAAATCCAGTAAGAATTGCGCCCTGTAGGCGACACAAAGACACACGAAAAGAAAATGGGAAATGGGCGTGGCTCTGCCCCTGGGGGTTGGGCATGTACCCCAAACGATAGGGATGTTCCTTAGGGTACAAAGAATGTGTATGCAAGATTATAAGTTAAGAAATGTGGCCTGTAGACGACAAACAAACAAATACTAGAAATGGGCGTGGCTCTGCCCCTGGGGGTCGGGCATGCACCAAAAACAATAGGGATCTTCCTTGGGGTATAAGGAATAAGTATACCAAGTTTGAAGAAAATCCAGTAAGAATTGCGCCCTGTAGGCGACACAAAGACACACGAAAAGAAAATGGGCGTGGCTCTGCCCCTGGGGGTTGGGCATGCACCCCAAACGATAGGGATGTTCCTTAGGGTACAAAGAATGTGTATGCAAAGTTTCAAGATTATTAGTTAAGAAATGTGGCCTGTAGACGACAAACAAACAAATACTAGAAATGGGCGTGGCTCTGCCCCGGGGGGTCGGGCATGCACCAAAAACAATAGGGATCTTCCTTGGGGTATAAGGAATAAGTATACCAAGTTTGAAGAAAATCCATGAAGAATTGCGCCCTGTAGGCGAACCACAGACACACACACACACACACACACACACACACACACACACATACATACATACACACACACACACACACAGACAGGGGCGACGGCATAATACGTTCACATTATGAATGTGGACGTATAAAAAGGATTCAATGAAAGTGGTCATTTGGGACTAACATGGCAAATCTTTATACATTATCTCCCCTGAAAAATTAATAATATTAGTTGCACCCAAGGACTAAATATAAGTGCAGGGACTTATTAACTACAAGCTGACATTATGAAGCTTTTTATTGGACGGTTCTTATTATAAATATCTGGAAGTGTCGTTTGTTATCTATCCTATTATCAAAAAGAAGAATCCTATTGAATTTTAGTTATTTATGATCCTATCTTCCTGAGTTATTACCTATGTTACAAAATCGTTTTATACCTAAAGAGCAGAGCTTTCACTTCAAAAATTTTAAAGGACTTTAAATGCAGAAGGTGATTTTTCTTTTGAGCATTATCCCAATTTAAAGTATTTTTGTAAAGTTTTAAAATTCTTTTTTCATGGAATGTAAATTGACTGACAGGTAAATTGCCCATACAGTTATATATTTTCACTCTCACATATGACCAACACAATTGTTCCAGACATTGCATTCTATAATTATGCCTTTTTGCCATAATAGCAGTTTTTGTGTCTGATGTTACAAGTTTCAATATGATAGGTCTAGGCATATCTGTGGGGATTTGGTGGATAGCGATCATTTCTGAAGGGTAAATCTTGACTGGTGCGAAATTATGACAGTTGCAGAAATTTAGTTCTTAAATTTTCTCTGTGCTCTTGTATGCCTAGTATTTTAATGGATTTTTTTCTTGAGTATTGTCCATTCCGATAAGCAGTAATGAGGACTGATTTGGATATTAAAACCATGTCTATGCAGTGTTTTTTATAACAATCTATCTCATCTTGTAGAGATTCATTTATTTCCTTTTGTTTTGTAATCTCGCATTTCACCTTTTCTCTTCCCATTTCAAGGACTTCCAGCTCAACAGATAATTCCTTTCTTACATGCACTTGAATTTTAAAATTTATGTCATCTAAGAATCTACTCAATGTCTTTTCTAAAATATTGTTTAACATATTCCCAGTCACCATGTTTTTTTAGTTACATCTTATCTAACATACCAGCTGTTACCATATTCTTCAATTAATCTTTTATTTCACTCAGCGACTTGAATATAGATATAAGATCTTCTGATAAAAAGTTTCATCATCCCGCCCACTTCTTGTTATTACAATAGATGTACTCAAATAGTTTTTTTTATGTTTTGAGCTCATTTTTTTTAAATCACTATCAATATTCAACTTCCTTGATACAAAAAAAATCTGAATAAAAATATTGCTTAAAAAAAAAAAAAAAAAATATTCTCCACTGTAGTGGGTGTTACTCTCTTTTGTTCAGCTACAATCTACCACCATAATGTTTGAAAGTGCAATGACATAAACATATAGATTTTTCTTCTGTAAACTCTTGGGAACACTCACTTAATCATTGTTTGTTATTCTATCTCACTCCATGCAAGAAATAGCCATATACATGTATCTTTCTTTTATTTCACACTTTTATCAACAAAACATCAGAGCTCATGCGTGGCTTTTACATGTCCGCCATCTGTCCTTCAGCTCAAAACTGGTTTGATGACTTACCTGCTGGCGAAATATATGTTTCGACAGGTTGTCATCGCACAAAACAAGCCAATACATTCAACCGAATCTGATTGTAAATTTTATTTTCAAGTCATAATAAAGAGGGAATGCCTAAATTGACCACCTTTTAATGACTCATATACATGTGATAAACCCTACTTCAGGTACATTGTCAGCATTACAACAAGGGTATAAGGTGAGCATCGTAGTCACAATTCCTGGAGAATCCATATAACTTCAAGGTTTGTAATAGTATCCTGGGAGGGGTCTTTTTATGGACAATAGCACATTCCTTCTGGATCTAAGAAAAGAATAATGTGCATAACTTTAATTTTATAGCAAGAGAAGTTTGATTTTCATAATTTCTTGCATATCTCAGACGTGACCAAATCTATTTGTGTATCTACATTAATTGTTAAAAATGTTCACAAGCCTGTCGTTTTGGCTATTGTTGATGGTGATTTTATTCTGTGTGTATGATTTTTATCAACACTTTAAGCAAGAGAGACAAATTATTAATCAAGTCTGGCTAAATTATGAGTTAGAAAGAAGATATTCCACAGAATTAATAACTGGCGGGTGATCAACACAACTCAATTTTCGGATATCTCCAAATGTGGACTATAAATTACTCAGCTATCATGACTCCACTGTCAATCTACCTTATGGACTTCCACAAGGTTCTGTGCTCTGGCCACTACTTTTTACTGCTTATACAGCACCATAATCTTGAATATTTTGCTGGAATCTCAATCTGCTGATACATGTATCACTGATCTGGAAAAATGTGCTTTGTCTATCAAAGAGTGGATGATCAACAACTTTCTTAAATGAAATGATAATAAATTAGAATTGTTTTTGTTAAACTTTGGATCAAATCAAAAACTGGAAAAATTTCAATCACTGAAATTTAAATTGGCAGTTAGTTCCAGCCTTTCTCCAACTGATAATCTGCAGTTCTGCATAATCTTGGTTTATACTTTGATACGAATTTAAATATGAACACTCACATAGCATCTGTATGTAAATCAACCAATTTTCAATTGTATAACATTGGACGAATCAGAAATATTTTAGATATTGTTACTTGTTAAATGTTAATACTCATGTTACATCACGCCTTGACTACTGCAATTCTCTTTAATATAATCTTTCTTCTAATTAGCTCAATCTTCTCCAGAATATTCCAAATAAAGCAGTGCAATACTATAGAGGTTATTTTAGTTCTAGGAAAGGTAACAACGAGAAATAGGCTAAGTAGGTATTTTGCAAGATTCAATTTTCTTAGACTCACAAACATTTTCTCCCACAATCAATTGCTGAAAGTAGGGTACTATCATCCAGTCATCTATTGGAGTCTGTGACCATGGTAGTCACATCGGTACCCGTAGTGTCACAGCAGCCTGTATTATTACCCAAACTAAAACGACAGAACATATCACTCCCGTGCTTCATGATCTTTATATAGACTCCCTATATAACATCACATTAATTACAAGTTTCTTTCTTCATAACATATTCTTCTTTACACTTTGATGACTCTCCAGCTTATCTTAAATCTTTACTTTAACTTCACACTTCAACTAGTACTCTCTGATACCAGAATAAAAACCTTCTTATTCCTCTGTATCCTAATACATCCTATGGAAACTGTTCTTTTCCCTTTGCTGTTCCATTTCTTTGGAATTTTCTTTATGTTAAGCTATCAGATTCAACTTCTATTTGTAAACATAGATTAAAGACACATTTTTTTCAAGATTATTGTAGTTTTTAAAAGATTATTACAGTTTTTAGGGTTTAATTTATACTTTTTATATTTCTTTTACGGTTTTAGTCCAGTAGTTACATTTACATTTTATTTTGATTTTTTTAGTTTTTATACTCTATTTAAATTGATGCTTATTCTTATATGTTCTGTTTTCATATAACAAAATGTAACCAGTGCCAGAGAACAGTAATTATATTACTGGCAATAGAAATTATATAAATTAATTATTACTATATAGTAGTATTATTTAAAAATGGATATTTTACCCAGTGGATGGTTTGAAAATGTCTTGTTAGGAGACCTCCTCTAGACGACTGTTACCCAAAATAAATGAAGGGAGATGAATGGTAAAAAAACACTGTCTTCAAAATGGATTAGCTCGATTGTTGTCAGGTTAACAATCTGATTAAAATACAGATCTATATTTTGTTTTGTTTTTTTATACTTTCAATGATCGGTTGTACTGGAAGGTCGTGTCAGGGATCATCCAAGTGGCTTTTGAACCTATGACATCGGACGTTGATTAGTCAATCAACGTTGACATTTCTAGTGGTTTACCCACAGTTCTGTGCATCGCACGGCAAGAACTCGCCGTAACAGACCGTTTCATAGGCTAATCCCTCACTTCAACCAGAACGTCGGTGATAACAACTCTTCCAGATCCTACTGTAGTAAGGACAAGTAAAACCAAATTATGAACTATAAAAATCGAAAGGAAATAGGATCTCTGTTTTAATCAGATTGGTCAGGTTAATATACATGTAAGTGCAGACTCCTAAAAACATGTGCCTGCTTGAACATGTCACAAGAGGTCATTCTGAAGGTAATTATCTGAAATTGTTGAAAATAAGTAAAATTCTTCATCTCATTAAAATAAACACTGTGTATAAATTTCAAGCGGCTAACTTTTGTTTGCCCCTACATGTAGACAGGGTTGAAGACAATATACAACCACATACATGTAAATGGCAAATTTTAAAATATTCAAGAAACAAAAATGACTTGATGAATATGGACGGATAGAGAGAAAACCTATATAGAGTAATATAGACTAATAAAAGGCATGGGAGAGGTTAAATATTTTGGACTGATAGATTTCATAATGACTAGATAATACATGTAGGCTACATGTATAGTTCTCTAGCCTTTATGTAACTAATGCATAATTGGCATGTGATCATAGCTTTTGCCGCTAAAGCATCAGCATATAACTCTGCAAATTATTCAAGAGCAATTAGAAATTGTTGAAATTCAGTCTTGACTCCTTTGTCTGAGTACTGGTTATATCTAAACAACTTGTTCAAATTTTAAGAATTAATTATTACAGTAACTCTGTTCTTAAAGTAATTCTTGATCATCTACAAGAGTACGGTAATCAGTTTTGTTTGTACACTGATTTGTTATAAATTTTACATACAATTTAATGACCATCCTCATTATAAGACCTTGTCAAAGCAAAAAATTATTTTATTAGGCCCTACTGATCTCAATTATCGAATCAATACGGGTGCTTTTCCTGCAGGTAATCAGTAAAACTATAATTGAAAATACTTCAATCATCCAATGACAGTTATCACCCCTATCTTATACTAAGAGTCTCTTAAAGACAAGCAATACAAGTAGTCTACTGTACATATATATATCAAAAGTAATGATTGAAAGTTAAATTTTAATTTATATAAAGGAAGTGTCTCTGCCTTATATAAATGCGACAGTGCTTGTTCCGGCAATGGAAGCGGACGTAAAATACAACTAACTACTAGTACTACTACTGTTCCGGCAATACCGGCATCCTGCGAATTTTTGCATTGGTGAAATGACACATTGTTTGCCGTTCTTAGTCACTTCTCGTATTTACATTTTCTTTGCAAATTTGTGCTTCAAATGGAATTTGCACAAACAACAAAAATGTTTTGAGTTCTGAGAAAAAATAAAGTAGTCTATGGCCTGTCCTGTGGTATGCAGTCTGGGTGACAAGGGAAAAAAATGACATTAGTTTTCTTATAAGAAATGTTGTTTTACTCACCTCTTTAATTCCAAGCTTACATAACTGGCAGACACCAGTTTTTTCTGCTGTCTGAATGTGCTGCTTGATCGGGGAATTTCCCATGATATGGTAAAATAATTGTTTTATTGCATTTTCCGTCAAGAAATAGTAATTAAAAACAAATACTTAGAGTTACCTCCCTTCCTAATCCGGTCACTGTGGCGCATGCGCAGATTATTTGTTTTGATGTAACACGTGTTAGCTGTCAAAATACTGCCCGAGTTGATATTTTGATACACGGGACTGCGTTTTAAAATGACTGCCAAACATATTTTGCTTACAGGTCCACCAGGTCTGCTTTTAAATGTCTCTAAATAGCAACTCACAGACATTTCCCACCGCGTATCCTCAACTGATTACACAGGCAAAACAATTAAGTCAATCTTTATAATTGTTTTTACTAATTTAGACCTGCATCTTGTGTTATCCATCATAATAACTTATGCAGATATAACAGGCGCTATTGCACTTTCGCACCTCGAGGCCTACCAATTCCTGTGGTCGTAGAGACTTGAAATTTTCAGGGGGTGTTAACGCTGTAGTCTACACAAAACGAATTACAAATTGCAATTCCGATTTTATTAAAAATGTACAAATTATTTTGATAGAATTTTACTGTACATAATTTTACAGTGTGAATATTAATACAAATAATTATTAAGATGCCTTCCCAAATACAAAATGTGTGATTTGATGATATATTTGGACTAAAAACATATTCAAACTAATCTGTCTATCAAAAGTTTACTTGAAATCCCTCTCAAAACATTTTTTTTTATGTCAAGAAAATGCCACATTTTTTAGTAGTAGGCCCTAGGGCCTATCCAATTAAGAAAAGTTAAAGAATCTTGGTTAAGGCTAATTATCCCATAACTCTTTACCAAAGTTGCTAAGAACTCTCTAATGACTGTGGTACTTACAGTGTCTGTGACTTATTTCTAGTCTTGCACATTTGCTTTTACTTTGGAATTTCCAATTCCACCTCTTTCTTTTTAGGTATTGGTAAAACAACTCTAATCAATAAGATATGTGATGCCTTACGATCTACAGGAATAGAATGTCAGGGATTTTATACAGAGGAGATACGATCAGGTGGAAGAAGAACAGGTTTTGATGTGGTTACTTTGTGTGGTAATAGAGGCCCATTAGCAAGAATAAGGCAAGTCTGATAGAAATAATGATACATGGATGGCTGGATTAGAAGTTTGTTTATTCTATTATACAGTTGTACATTTATATTGTAAATTTATACTGTAGTGCATTTATTGTTTTGTTCATATTAATTAAACCTTTTGTTTTCATACGTTAATAGTGAGAGAGAGGAGATTCCTAGCAGTAATAGAAGAGAATATAAAGTGGGACAGTACAGTGTACAAATCCAGTCATTTGAGCAGACTGCTCTACCATCACTTCAAAAGGTAGTTACATGTACCTACTGTCCTGTTCAAAGTTGGAAAAGTTACTGAATCATCGCTGTCAATGTCAGTTAGCACGAGATAGTCCCCATCCGGCTGGATTTTGCTAATACCCCATGTTCCTGAAGCAACGACTGTGAGTTTTACAACATCTGGACGTTGCTAGATTGCTTTACAATTCCCAAACTTATAGCTACGTTATCTCCATTTACTGCACACACATGAACACTAGCTTCCAGAGGTTGTGACACAAACATGCTCAAATCAAATATAGCGACCTCCACGGAAACCTTGACATTAACAAACCTTGAACTTAGCAACTCGATTATCACAGGTAGACATTTTAGCTGGAAAGTGCGAGACTTGTTATTCGTGATGATCGAGGAATCTGATAGGCTCTCAAACTGGGTGAATACCCATTCAAAATTTAGTGTCAAAATATCCAGGGTATTACGTGAATGCCTTGATAAGATGTACAGAGCTAAAGTGAGATCAAGTTTTCTATTGAAGATGCTAATATTCAGGCTCTGTACATGTGTAGAACTAAAAAAACAAAAAGTTTATCGTTTTTTTTTTCCTGTCTGCGATATCACCTTCGGTGGAAGCGGACGTTAAACACTATGAACAACAACAACACTTTTTTTCCATTTCAATGTTTTGAAAAACTGGGTTTTTTTCTTTCAGAAATCAGGTGATAATAAATCTGTATTTGTCATTGATGAAATTGGAAAAATGGAGTTATTTAGTCAAACTTTTGTACAAAGTGTTAAAAGTATTTTTGATAAACCTAATAGTACCATATTAGCAACCATACCAATAGCTAGAGGGAAACCCCTACCATTTGTAGAAGAACTTAGGCACAGAAGTGATACACTAGTTTTTACTGTAAGTACCGTAATATACTGCATATTACAATTGTTTTTATTATTCTAGGCATTATGCACAAAAAAAGGTTTAAATTATCAGGCATTTATATAAAAAGATTGGTAGTCAAATCGTACATAAATTTCGTAAAAAAAAATCAATCATTTGTATTATTCTACTAAAGAAAAGAATTTTGAAATTTTTCCTGGACAGCGGTGCTACGGCCTACTCTTGCATTGAATTCCAACTGCCAAAGGATCTGTTACGTGCACGCCAATGTGTACACAGGACCTTGGTTTTTCATCCCATCCAAATGATGACATTTTGTCCCTTGTCCTGCACCACAGGCAAGGAGGAAGCATGGCAGAAAATCTCGATGAACTTTGGTGGCCAGAAATCGTGTTAATTACACCAATCTATTGCTAGAAAGTTGGTGTAAGTATGCAAATGCTAAAATGTAAAGAAAAACAGCACTAGACTATGATAATGTTGTTAATAGTTTTCCAAAAATAAAGAATGGTTTTATTCACTAAAAGATATCTGCGATCTCTCCTTTTCAGATTAACCTTTGACACTTCTTCATTTTAGTATTGCTAATAACCTTGTATGTTTTTCTACTAGATATCACAAAATAACAGAGATTCTATTTTACAAGATATAGTGAATGCTGTTAAACATTCTGCTCAAAGTCAATCATCTTGAGATTCAAAGAGGAATCTTATAGAGAAGTAACATGACACCTGGTTAGAGGCCTGAATTTCATCCCCATGAGTGTTTTTTGTATGGCATACAACAAACTAAGTGTATAATTCCTTGTTTATATATGGAAGTGAAATGATATGTAATTGATATTTTTGGACCCGGAACTGGGTCTTGTTCTTCTTGGGGGACACCTTTCGAAAAATCCCTGAAGGATCTGCTGATTCTACTACAACTGACATAAAACTTGACATGCTTTTTCCTTGGACAATTGTGCATCAGTTGATGGACTGGACTTTGATTTTTGATATGACATCACGATTCCAAGATGCTAGGTTCCTGTTCCATAGTTCGCTCTTACTTGTTTTCATAGACAGTATATTGCAAATATATGGTCATAGTCAGACATCCGTAGAATAGGATTAATTGTTTCCATGGTAACAATATACTTTAGACCGAAGTAGAGGATTAAATAAAGACACAAGCGAAAATAAAAATAGTTTATTTGTCTGATGATGGACAAGGTAAAACTGGTGAACAAGAAAAAACAAACAATTTATAAAGAGCACTACAGTTGACATACAAAATAATAACCAGCCGATGATATTTATCTGTAAATATATGCAATAAATATAGCATTTTAATATTATGTATTTACATGTTGGTGATGTATATACAATAATTTATATCATAAATCAAAAGTTCAATTTTATGATACTTTAACAAAACAATAAATTTCATTGTTAGCGGCAATTTACTACTAAACCTGTTGTACTTGAGGTTGCCTTAAAACATGCCATACATATTATATAATGAACAATTACATATATCGATAAGCTTTATTAGCACTTATTTTATTATTTGTAAATAAATTTATTAAATTTGATTCATTTTGAAATTCTCACTTTTTGATATCTGAATTAAAATGCATATTTTGGCACTTAGATTAAAATACTATAATTAAGTAGTATTTCAGGCCTAAACAATTTGATTTTTAGTGTTTTGGGATCCAGATCAAGAGCCTCAAATGTACTAATTTGAAAACTTGAAGCTCAGAGCTTTCAAGAAGAGCAACAGGTATTATTTGTTTTTCCAAGAAATTGGCAGCAAAATTTGAATAAGTGATCCCAAAAAACTAAATTTCAATTTAAAATGGCCTAACTCCAATTTTCTGTTGGTGAAAAATATATATGACAATTGAATTGAAGTATTATTGCTTTTGTATGATTTAATGACTGTAACCAAGTGTGTTCACATGTTCCCAGTGTCGATGACAAAGGCATATTATGATAAAAAGTGATGATATACTATTATTCATGTAAATAAAAGTTGATGATGTCAATCATAAGTACTGGTGAATGACACTACCACACTTAATAATCAATGATGAAGCCTTTGAAATTAAGCAAAATTTAAACAATGATATCTTAGGTTATCTTTTAAATTATTGGTGTTTTCGTTTGACAACTTCACAAAATAATGGGCTGATTTTGTTTTGTGAAAATGGCATATCAGATTATTATTTATTTGCTTAAACTTCAATATACAATTCCTATTACATGGGTAATATTAATAATAAACTTAGTGCTTTAAGCATTGTTGTTCAGAATTTGTTTGAATTACATAAATTCATGATTTGAGTTTAACTTAAGGTCACCAAATTCAACAATTCTCATTTAAATTGGGTTGAACTGATCAAATCAAGGAAGTCATCATACTTTTAAATTACTTTTTATGTATACCAATATCTAAATTCATTTAATTAAATATTATAAATTCGATCTCTCAAACACTTTTTGAACAACTAAATCCATGGGCTTGATTCTTAAACCCTACTCTAGTTATAAATTTGAACACAATATGAATGTTTATGACATTAATTGGTTCCAATCAATGCTACATGTCAAAGTTTCTTTCCTCTTACTTTCATCATTTAACATGCATTATAATCCTTGAGTGGCATTTAGCAAATTAAAAAACACAGCACTATGAAACGTCATGCTATATCTGTATAAACCAGTGATTTTTTTCTATATAAATCGTGTTGTGTTTTTTAACATGCATTATGTAAGATTCAGATAAAGAGCAGACAGTTCTTGCTATAATAGTTAAAAAAATAGATAATGGAAGGGGAACGCGTTCAAAATTTTAGTAAATTTACTTCATATTGAGCAGAGTTATCGTTGATTGCAGAACAGTGTAGTCCCGATTGTCATTGCTACCGTTGTTACGATACTAAACAGCCTTGATTATCAATTTTTAATTAAATCATTAACCACAAATTGTATTTAAATCTGTTGAAAATCTAGAGCATCCAATGGCATTGAGAGTTGATTATGGTCTTGGCAAGTTAATAAATTAATAATTAATATAACATTTAAAGCCTAAAGAAAGACATGGAATAGACCAATTTAGCTCTTCAATAATACCCCTTTTATTAATTTTATAGATTGTATGAAAAGCCCAGTTTCTTTAAAGAGGCAATATTACTTTCAATCAAAAATGAAATAGCTTGAATGTTATACCACTCAGATAAGGGCATGCATACAAATAAGTGCCTAGTTACCACCTTCCATTTCTTGTTTGCTTGTAATCAACCAAACATGTGAAGCAAATGGGTTAAAGCATGTAACATGGAAGTAGCAAAGGGTGTGATGAAACTGTTATGTGCCCTCTTATAGGGTTCCCGTCTTCATTAGCCCAGTATAGGAGCAGAACAGTAGGAGATTAAACCCCATTTCATTTTTTTATAGGGTCTTATCCAGTCAAATACAGATTAGCATGCAAGCTCTTATTCAATCAAATACAGTAATTTATTAGCATGTAAGCTCCTATTCAGTCAAATACAGTAATTTATTAGCTGATGAGCTCATATTCAGTCTAATACATGCACAGTAATTTATAATCATGTAAGCTCTTATTCAGTCAAATATACAGTAATTTATTGTCAAAAATGCAAGCACTGTAATCTATTATTTACACTTTACAGCAACATGTAGAGCACTTTTGTTTCATGTATCTTCTACAAGACAGCTTCAGATTCGTGTAATATTTCTTTTACCAGAAATAAGAGTATGGATCTCAGATTTTATACACTATTTAACATAAATACACAGGATCTGATCGTGTAGTCAAATCCTTTCATATTAGAAAATAAATTGCTGATAGTGAGATTGCCTCTTTACAGTCTGATGATATACAAATGTATATATAGCTAATCTTCAAACTTCATCAAAATAATCCAAACAAAGAACTAGCATAGGCCATTGGTTTAACATTAGGATGTGGCTGAAACACAATAAATAACCAAATATTTAAACATACATTATGTAAGATTTAGATAAATAGCTGACAGTTCTCTGTATAATAGTTTAAAAAAAGATAATGAATATATTGAAATGAAATGAAATGGGGTTTAACGTCCTACTGTTTTGCTCCGAACTGGGCTAATGAAGATGGGCATACGCCATAGAGTGTGCTATGAGGGAAATTTTGCCCAGACAGCGGCACTACGGCCTTCTCTTATATCAAATTCCAACTGTCAAGGGATCTTTACGTGCACGCCAATGTGAACACAGGACCTCGGTTTTTCATATCATCCGAATGACTAGACAGCTGTCCTTGTCAGGCCCTCCGTCCTGCATCACTCGGCCAATGCAGGGATCGAACCCCCGACCTCCAGGCTAGCGAGCCTGCGGCTTACCCACTTAGCCACCGTGACCCCCTGAATATATTGAAAATTTCAGTCAAATTACTCCATTCTAAGTGAAGTTATAGCTATTTGTAGAATAGTGGAGTCCCGATTGTCCTTGCTACTGTTGTCATGTTAATAATTTTCTAATTAATAATTTATATAACATTTGAGACCAAAAGAAAGACCTGCAATAGGCAGATTTAACTCTTACATGTTTAAGATGTACATGTATTAAAAGATTACGATATTTGAATATACATGGTACTATATATGCTTCATTGAAAAATATAGTATAATTAATACTTCCAACCCTACGATTATAATCCTACTCTGCCAAATTACCATTATCAATTTATTTAAGAACGCTATCTGTTCAAATTTGGTACTTACCACGGCTTCGTAAGATGTATATTTAGGCGTTAAATCTCCTCCCTTTATTGTAATAAAAGCACCTTTATTTTTCATAGTATCACTGACAAAAGAAAAAAATAAATTTATTAATCAGATATTCTGTTAATTTACTTAAAGTTGATGATTGTCATTTGAGAGATTTTGAATCCCTTGCCAATTACAATATTGTGACAGTTTAATTTTTAGATATTGTCTGAAAAATGGCCAATTAGGTTAATAATATGATATGATTTTTGATCAATGATGGGGAAAGTCTGATAAAAAATTTATTTTGACAGATTAATCAGAAGTCAGTTTGTTAACTAAATTTAGTTTTATTTTTGGCTTGCAGTGTCGAAAAAAACACAAAATATGTTAAATCTCAACACTGGCTTCCATCAATAGAGAGAGAGAGAGAGAAATGAGGTTTAATGTCCACTTGACACAAACCAGATCATTTCGGGACTGACACATGGTTTAATTTAGGGGTCTTTAGTAGTGGGAGGAAACCGGAGAACCCAGAGAAAACCCATGAGGTTATACAGATGACCTACTCCTTGTGGGGAATAGAAACCACGTCACGTCACCCCCCTCCCCCAGGTTTTTCAGTAGGAGAAAGATTTCCATCCCACAAAACAAATCAATGTATAACATTCAATTAGATCAACAATATTATTTTTGACCAATGTCTCCAGTCATTTAAAGACAATAATTAATACAGTTACAACACTTGTCAGCATAATCTGTGAATGGATTAGAAAATTGATTCAATTTTACGAGAATAAAAAAATTAACCAACCAGTAATTTGGAGCTGAGAAAACAGTTATACACTTTCCATTATGCATAATCTCATAACCAGCATCTTTAACTTCATGACTTCGAATGATATAATCAAGGTTGTTAACTCGGAGGAAATTTTCTGTTACATCTGGACCAAATTGAACTCCGACCCCTCTCTTACTTGGTGCTGTACCAGGTACAATTTGTGGATCTGACCATAATAACTCGCACATAATACCTGAATGAGATAAATTTATGAAGCATATTGGGCTAGAAAAATCGAAAAAGATCTCTGAATAAAACACAGATTCTATATCGTTTCGTTTTTATAGTTCAAAATTTTGTTTTACTTGTCTTTACTACACTAGGATCTGGAAGAGTTGTTATCACTGACGTGTTCAGAATGGTGTGAGGAATTAACCAATGAAACGGTCTGTTACGGCGAGCTTTAAGCGTGTTTTGCACGGCACTTTGGGTAATCCACTAGTGACATCAATGTTGATTAGTTAATCAAATGTCTAACATCATAGGGTCAAAAGCCTATCGTATGACCTCTGACGCGACCTATCGCTACAAGCGGTCAGATCTTCATGCAGTGTAGGCCATCGAAAGAATAAAAAACAAAACGAAATATAGAGATTGGGACGGGGGTTACCAAAAATGAGTATCGAAATTGAATGAACAAGGCGTTGGTCTCTGGCTCGCTAGCCTGGAGGTTGGGTGTTCGATCCCTGCATTGGCCGGGTCTCGTGTATACATAGGAATGCACATAAAAGATCCCTTGGCAGTTAGAATTCGATATAAGAGTAGCCGATAGTGCCGCTGCCCGGGCAGAATTTCCCTCATAGCACACTGTATGGTGTATGCCCGTCTTCATTAGCCCAGTATAGGAGCAGAATAGTAGGACGTTAAACCCCATTTCATTTCATTTAATAATAACCCCAAATATAACCCTAACCAGTTACCTCCTAATTGTTAGCTCCAGTTAGCACCTATTTAACCTATGTATTCAAAATGGATAACTTATTTCATTCTCACCTTTCTTTCTTTTTAAGGTTGGGGTGGGTTGGGGGGGTTAATAGAATAAAAAAAATATTCAGTATTAGCAAATTCCCTGCCCGGGATCTAAATTTTGTTATACAAGATGGTATATCTTAGTTTGAGTTCTATGATTAAATTATTATAGGCGATGAATTTTGACCAAGCAAATTGATTTCTGTTAATTAAAGATGCATTATGTAAGTGCTAAATCTGCCTCTTGCGGGTCTTTTTTTTACACCTCAAATGTTATATACATTATTAATTAGACATCTATTTGCAAGACATGTCCATAATCAACTAGGGGAAGGTGGGGTAATATGGGACATAATATTTTGCTGTGGAATATTTCATAGGTGTAATGTGATATTGAAACAAATCAACTTTCTAGTTAAACTGAACTCATCTTTAATTTATAAAATATAAGGACAATGTGAGTTGCTAATTTTTTGCTATAGGACTTGAAAAATAATGGGTGATGGCCCATTTTACCCCACCTGGATGGGGTAATATGAGCTGACAGCATTTTACAGATTTCTGACACTGCTTCCAGAACAAAATGAAAAATTTGGAGGGCAGTTTCAATTGAAAGATATTAGTTTAGTTTAGCGAATCATTATACCTACAAAATATTCCACAGCAAAAAATTATGTCCCATATTACCCCCTCTTTCCCATATAGCATGCTTCTAAAACAAATAAAATGAAATTGCTAAAAATAATTGTAGCTTATATGATTAAGCTATAAATCATTCAAAAGAAATTTAAGATTTTGTGGACAATTTGTTTTTAATGGTTTGGGCGGAATATGAACCATGGCTCATATCACCCCAATTTGCGTGTCCCATATTACCCCAAGTGACAAGGATTAGATAAGTCAAAATTTCACAAAGACAGACCAAGAGTTCTCTCCCTGTAACTACAGGCTAGAGCCTAACAGTAAAAATCTATTTTAATGCTCAGACGAGATTTTCTTTACAAGGTAAACGTTTCATGAAATGGACTGATGGTCTTCAACCCCCAAAAAACTTTCAACGTAGAAATTTTTTAAAATACTGAGATTTTTTGCGTAATGTATCTGTGAACTTGTTATGATGTGTAACACATGTTTAGAGCTTTTAGAGGTCTTGGCAAATAACATTTTAAAGAAATGTCATATGGCAAGCTTGTCAGGGCTGTGGCCCATATTACCCTCATGCCCATATTACCCCCGCTTCCCCTATCTAGGTTATTAGATGGCAGATATTGAATGGAGTAGACTATCCACGCCATATAATCGCTTATGGTTAAAATGAACATAACTCAATAAAAAGATTGACAACTGAGACATCATGGCAATGGTGTACTTGACAATCCTCTATTTCATGTCAAAACTTCAATAACTCATAACCTTGTTCAGAATAAAAAGTAATTTGATTGAAATTTTTAATACATTCATACTTCATATTTTGTACTCTTTTTATCTAAATCTTACATAATGCATCTTTAAGAAAATAATTTTATACTGACCTGATTCTGGAGGTTGTCTATTTCTATCTACTTTTCGTATATCATCTAATGTTACTGCTGGATCAGAAAATAGACCGCCATGACATACCTTTAAAAAAACAAACATAAATACAGTGTTTCTAGTAGTACTCTATTCCAAGTTTACAAACATAATCAGACAGGGAAAAATACTTATAAAGAATAGAATAATTAATCATCATAAGGAATATATATATCCCAAAATTATCTGTTAATATTCTCTACTACAATACTAATCAGATATGGTTCAAAGTTTTGGAAGTCAATGGAGAGAATATTTCTAATTATTCGATAAAATTCTTAATTATAGCAACGATTGGATACATATTCAAAGTGGGTTGAAAGTCAATAGGGGAATGCTTTCAATTCTCAATTTATTGAAGTTTTACCATTATTTTCTTATTAATACAGTGAGCTAATGGAATCCAGTTAAAAACTTCAGTAAATAAATCACACATTTGAGAGGTATATGTAAGAAGAGTTGAGGAAATATGGTAAAACACTTGATAAAAACTTTATAAATTACAATGTCATGGCTGCCTGCCACCTTAATCCCAAAATAAAGAGATGATATTAAATAATTACTAGGACATTTATCTTTTTATAAAGCATTGAGTGATCAGTATGCTTATCACTCTGCTTAACCTGAGCAGTAAATACTCATTATCAGTTTGGATGAAATTTATACACCAAGTTTCATCACCCTCAGACCGACAAACAAACCCATTTCATAGTCCTGTGCTTTTGCCGAATGGTTAGGGCAAAAGGAAACAACCATTTTGAATGATATTGTGTAAAGTGCAGGTTATGAGAAAGAGAGCTTAGGTTTAAAGTCTAATCAACAGAACTAGGTACAATGAAACTAACAGTACACACATGGTAAATAATGAATACTTTATATCGGATCAACAGTAGGAGTAATCTGTTAAAACTTTGCACGATATGCAGATTCCTGATCATCTAGGCCTAACTGTTAGATAGAGCATGTGATAGCAGCAGAGGCAATCAGCATAGAATATACTGGCTTTCTCAAACCAGGTTCGCAATGTCAGGGGTGGGGCCTTGAGGACTCGATAGGCAAGTGTGCCAAGAAATCTGGAAGGAATGAAAAACTGTAGTCCATATTGGTGTGCACAAAGAATAACCCTTGCACATGGAATTATAGAAATGATTTTATCATATATTAAGTCTCAAAATGACAAGACACTCTCTCTCTGTCTGTCTCTCTCTCTCTCTCTCTCATATCAGATCGAACAGAATTTCAATTTTTTTAGGAAATAATTATTGCTGCAATGCAATAAAAACTCAAAGGATATTTTGATTTGACTTCTCCATCAAAACCATACATTTGATTCATAGTAATACTTTCATGGTTGCCTATAATGATAAAACATAAACTACATATTTCATGGTTATCAACATTTGCATTACCACAATATGTAAACATTCAATCATATCTTTTACATCGATAAATATTACTGTGTTCTGATACCCTAATTGTGGACATTAAAAACACAGTTATTGGTACAAATTAAACAGGAGAACTCAATCATCAACATTCCACCCACTTGTCTACCAAAAACTAAGTCAAATATATTTCAAGGAAACAAAAATAATTAAATCCGAGAAATATATGATTAGTGAATAGGCACAAATAGCTTGATTTGTATACAAACTTTTATAAAGATACATTTATGAGATATTCTCTGGATACAAAACCTGGACAGATGGATGGAGTATAATTCAATAACCCTTTATTCTGCATGGGATAATAACTGGGTGGACATTATATGAGAGTTAAGATTCATTGTGTACAACAAGTTCTCAGCTTAACTAATTTTAAAAAAACCCACTGATATTTCTCAGATAATTTAGTGTGTACTTACCTCTAGACATATAGAAGTGTTGTGGATATAATAATTTTAAACTTAATAACGATAATATACATTCTACAGAAAATGATCCTCTATCAACAAAATCACCATTAAATAACTAGTATACTGGTTAAAGAAAATCTAGTTTAAATATTTAATGAAACATATATCTGATAAATGTTCAATTAAAGCTTAATGTTTGCTTAATGTTAACATAAAGATGGGTTGCCAGGCAACGAAACATGCCCACAGCAGCTAAGTCATCTGGGCAGTCAACAAGTGTTGTCACATATTTTTTTCTTTTTGTCAGTAATGAGAACATTTACAACACATGAAAATCTGATTACGAGAAATAATAACCCATGAAGTAATTATCAGAAAATATTAGAATTTATTTAGATTGTTTGTATCATGACCTTAAACAATTTATATTAACTTTAGCCTCTAAGACGTCCACAAGACTTTTCAAAGTGAACAGAGGCCATAACTCTGGCAGTAATTATCGGAAATCGTTAAAATTGAATAGGATTCTTTGTCTCATGACCTTAAATGCTGTGAATAAGTTTAAAGTCAATCAGATATTAACTTTGGCCTCAAGAGCTTCTACAATGTTTCTCAAAGAGATCAAGGACTATAACTCTTGACAGTAATTATCGAAAATAGTTGAAATCAATTGGATTCCTCATCTCATGACCTTAAACAGTGTGTATAAATACAAAGTCAATCGGATATTAACTTTAGCCTCTAGAGCATCCACAAGATTTTCAAAGTGATCAAGGGCCATAACTCTGGCAGTAAATGAAATGGGGTTTAACGTCCTACTGTTTTGCTCCTAAACTGGGCTAATGAAGACGGGCATACGCCATACAGTGTGCTATGAGGGAAATTTTGCCAGGGCAGCGGCGCTACGGCCTACTCTTATATCGAATTCCAAATGCCAAGGGATCTTTTACGTGCACGCCAATTCGTACATGGGACCTCAGTTTTTCGTGCCATCCGAACGACTAGACAGCTGTCCTTGTCAGGCCCTTCGTCCTGCATCACTGACAAGGGGAAACCACGCCGGAGAATCTGGATGAACTTTCTCGGCAAATGCAGGGATCGAACACCCGACCTCCAGGCTAGCGAGCCAGCGTCTTACCCACTTAGCCACATGATCCCCCAACTCTGGCAGTAATTATCAGAAATCGCTGAAAATCAATAGGCTTCTTCGCCTCATGACTGTAAACACAGAGTATAAATCAATAGGCTTCTTCGTCAATCGGATATTAACTTTAGCCTCTAGAGCATCTACAAGCAATTGTGGATGCTGGACCGACAGACAGAGGCGACGACAATATACAACCACATTTCAATGTGGGCGTTTAAAAAGGATACATAAGGATTATCTTTGGAGGGTAATCCATTTAATTCAAATATATTTAAGAGATCATAAAACTGACCATGTATATCCCCACATATTGTGAATTTTGAATCCTGGAAAAAAAAAATCAGTTCTTAGTTCAGACATTTAAAGATCAAATTCATGTTTTCTTTATTAATATAAACAGTCTTCATTAGCATGGTTGACGTAGAACAGCATGATGTTAAGACCCAATTTCATTTCATTGATATGAAAAACATAAATTAAAAGGTTAATTATAAATGATAGACAGGTAAGTACAAAATGGACCATCTTAATTTCTAGAAATTTACATTATGATCGATTGAAAAATTCTGAAGGTTCCTCTTGAACTTGGAACATTCTACATATAGTACATTTGTTACAGTTTTAGGCAGCTTAAATATAAAATTGAAATACCTTAGGAACATCTATATCTACTAAAGTTAGCTGCTTTGAAAAGTATTCTTTAGCTTGTATCAAAATCTGAAATAAATTTAAAATTGTCGATTTAGTTTGAATTATTTAATTCATGGCAGAGGAATATGTTGATTTGCTTTGTGAATTGAGTATCTGTTGACATTTGAAATTTAGGTCCTCAGATGAAACTAAAACAAGTAAACAGACAAAATGAATAATATGTCACCCCATCAATTAACATATTCAATGAAACATACATTATGCAAGACCCTATGAGATATTTATTAACATGAAAAGGTCATAATCAACTCTGGATGCCATCGGATATCTCCAATATTAAATAGATTAGAACCCTTCAGCCATATTTTGATTTAATTTAAAAATGGAGAAGCGAGTCTAATTAACGCACACATCTTGTCAAACCTTTAAAGGGCTAATATCTTCGCAATAGAGTAATCTGAATGAAATTTACAATATATTCATTTTGCATTATCTATTTTCGAGCTATCATAGCAAGAACGGCCAGCACTGTGTTTAAATCTTACATAGTGTATCTAACTAATTTAACCTAATTCTTCAATTTCTTTTGACCTACAGGGAAGAGGTTTGGGGTTTGCAATCTTGTAAGACAAACATCTTTTAAAAATGTAAAAGTGTTTATATGATTCAATTGACATTGGAATTTAGTTTTTTTTACCAAAATTTCTCTGAAATTAGGGAATTCAATTTAATGAAACAAATACTTTTACATTTACGAAAGACATATATATTATTGAAAAACATGAAATTAAAAGCCATGAAAACATAAAAACAATGGAATGGTACATGAACACAGCACAGCCAAGTCAATATATTAAAAATATGACAAAATTACAGTAACTAAGCAGTTTAAAGTGGACAAGAAAGAGTTGACTTACTTGGTATGCAAATTTTCTATGTAATTTTTTCTGATTTTTAAATGTGTCTAAGAGATCAGTTACAAATTTCTCAGTGACTTTATTATTTTCTAGTGCTGGTCCATTATAATCATCTTCTATAACTGAAATATCAAATTAAAACATGTTATTCATTAAGTTGTGCCTGGCAAGGACAGTGTCTTGTGTCCTTTATACACGTTGGCGCACACATAAAACAACCCTTGATAGTTTGAATTTGAAATAGGATTAGGCAATAGGCCGTAGTGCTGCTGTCCAGACAAAATTTCCCTCCTAGCACACGTACATCTGTCCTCATTAGACCAGTCGGGATGCAGAAAAGTAGGACGTTAAAAACAAAAACATTTCAGGTGTACTGTAGCTGACAATATACAAAACAGTTTCCCCATTCAATGTTTTTCTCTTTAATAGATTTTTTTCACTTTCAAATATTTATGAAACCTACCCATATTTTCTAAATCTAATTTTTCCACTACAGACTCGGAATCAGATGAAGAAATGGCTTTCTGAAATGCCATCATTCTGACTATTTTAGCACATTCGTTGTATTTTGCCCTTGCGTCTTTGTCATTTGGTTTCACTTTCACTACCTAAAAAATACAGAGCTATGTTTAATACTGTTTTTTAAGACGATATACATCTATGTTGAATTTAGTTTATTTTCGAAGTTTTTCCGACCATAATGGACTATTTGAAGCAGAGTATAATAGGAATTATCGCCGACTCCATGGCTATACAAGCACCAACTTACCGATGAATATCTCAATTTATATCAATAAAATAGAATCAGCTACTAAAAATCGTGTTGTCCTTAGTTCACCTGATCAAGTTTTAACATCAAACAGCTGACAAATAGTAGACAATCTTCAATTTCACCCATCAGAAGAGTGATAAAGTCAAAGTTACCGATACTAAAACTGAAATGACTAGAACTCATTTATTAACTGGACAATAAACATAACTTACGTACATTCAGGTCCTCCTAGTTCCTAACTTCCTATAATACAATTTTTCTGGTTATTTGAATTAAAACCTAAACATAACTTACGTACATTCAGGTCCTCCTAGTTCCTAACTTCCTATAATACAATTTTTCTGGTTATTTGAATTAAAACCTAAACACAGTAATAGTCTCCCAAGGTAACTTCCTCTTTGGTAGTTCGGTTCTATTGAGATAGCACTTTTTAGATCTTATGATTATATTTCTAATCAAATACATTGTATTTACAAGTGTCTGCTATCATTTAGAACTGTGTACAGACCTTCCTTAGATAATACATTTTCATACTATAGACAATATAATTTGTTCACATTGATAATTAACTACTTATTGTAATAAATGTAAACTGTAAGTAAAAACCATATATGTACAAATGAGGGACCCAAGTTCAACAACACAATCTTAAGTCCTATCAGTCAAAAAATACCCACTATCCTACAGAGTGCAGTCTATTTTCATAAATATATTTGTAACAATACAACATGAATGGATGCACTTACTGCTTCAAAGTCTTTTAATGCCAGTTTGAATTTCCCTAATGCCATATTAGCGGAGGCTCTTCTGTAGTAAGCCTGGAATTACAAATGACAAAAATTCTTTAATTTGGACAATAAATGCCAGTAAGGACTGACTGGTATGAAAACGGAAGTTTTGAAAACTTCATGTGTCAAAACCATGTAGAACTCACCGTCGTTAAAGAGAGAGCCAAGTTTAGATAGAAAACTGAATTAATAATCTAATAATAAACAAACATAAATACCTTTATATAGTTTCTATCAAGATCCAATGCTTTGGATGCATCTTCTAAAGCATAACCGAAACACTCAGTTCTTAAGTAGGCAAAACTTCTATTTCCATAATAAGGGGCATTATATGGATTTAATTCTATAGCTTGTGTATAGAAATTGATTGCTTCATTATACTGCTCATCTGCAAAATATTTACATAATACATGAATTGGAATATTTATACCGATCTGTACAAGACATCTTATAAAAGATACATACAAAAAAGATGTGCCTAGGACCGAAATAGTTAAAGAATTATTTAATACAAAAAAGTCAAATTGGCAACATCTGGTTAACATAATAAGTGACTAATTCTTTCATGTAGTTACATGTATATGTTCTGAATTCTGAAAAAAGCCAGCATATAAAATTTAACAGTACAAGCATATAAAATATAGTAGGCCTATAGTTGTAATGGGGTAACCCGATTTATCCAAATCCACCAGTATTTCAACTCATATCAAAATATATAATATTGATGGTTCTTTATGCCAAATTGTTGTCTTTAATTTAAAATTGTAGCTTTTTGGTGGCAAAATGCAATTTCCAAGCAAGTTTGGAAGTCGTAACCAAGGAACATAACTTAATTGTGTAATACAACAATCTACCCAAATCCACTGTTATTTCAAGATAATATCTGAACATAAAAATGACAATTTGGCATAAAGAATGGTAAATTATCAAATATTGATATAAATTATTATTTTGTAAGTTGAAAAAAGTGGTGGGTTTGAGTAAATCGTGCTACTGTACAGTTGTCATAGATTCTCACAAATAATCGGGAACAGAAGTTCATATTAGCAAAATTGCAGACAATTTACAGTTTCCTGAATCAGAATAAAATTACATCAACAAAATAAATGAAATAAATCAATACCCCAATTGTGGGGCTCAACATTAAAGTAGCTAAGTCTCTAACTCCATATCATCCAAAGTCTTACACGTTGAAAATACAAATTATTTGTCAATTCAAATCAACATTGATGTTGTAATCTTGCCAGGAAAAGGTAGGCTTCTGATATACAATATTTAAGACAAAATGAACATTTTACCATTGGTACACGAATTGTGTACCGTAGTGCGTTTCAGCGTCCTTTGTAACAGTGACCAGAAAGAACGAGGCTATAAATATTCCACAACTCATGTCAAACGGTGACGCCATATCTTATCTGGAGAGCAGGCGCAATAGACTGGAATAACCAGATGCTAGAAATTGCTATTCGGTTGAGACTAATGTCGTATTTCGCTGGACATAACTGATTTGAAATTAGAGTCAAAACGGAAACAATTAAATGTAAATCAGTTTATAGTTTATATACAATCAGATTACATTATTTTATGCGTTGCAACCCATTTGGGTCAATTTCTAGGTCCCAAATATTAGCAATTTAGCTCCTTTAATGTCTGTCTGATTAAAAAGGGCAAAAGAGTATTCTTCCTTGCTACACCTGGATTGGCCCGTGATTTCTGTTCAATTAGATTAACAGTTTGAGTTATTAATTTTGACAAGAAGTGAAAGTTATTCGAGAATCGAATGTCTGTCACAAGAAAATATCCGCAGGAACATTAACCTTTATTATTTTAAACACCGAAAGGGAGTTTATGGACTGCATGATTTAGCTTTTAACAACGTCCTTGGCCCATGTGCCAACTCCTGGTTTTCCAAAACCATGCCTGACACTTTTCATTCTTGTCTGTATTATTGTGAACAATTATAACTTGATTACTTTTAAAATATGTGTTGGCTTTATCCTTGACTTCATCTGCTTGCTTTCTAATTTCTTCACTTAATGAGTCGATGCAATTTTTGTTAGAATTCACAAGATCATTACTAGAACCATCTAAATTCTGTTCTAACGCCGCCATTGTTGTAGTATTGCAGAGCCAAGGATACCGTATTTGTTTCTAATACCGAAAGGCTTGACAGGGGAGACAACCATGATTTAGAGTAAAGTTTTCTTCAAAAATCCATCGATAACAGCAATTGATGGATTGATGAATGGTATACTGCGACGACCAGACAATGTAAATAAATGCACAAACAGTCAAAAGCAATAACATTATAAATTTCTATACTGTGCGTGATTTTGGAAACTCTTTATTTCAAGATGAAGACCATGTCCTTGAACTGAAATTTCAACAACTAAATGCCCTTTTTTCATATTGTTTGACATCACCTTTCGAAAACGAAAATTATCTGTGGAGTAATGAAGTATACATAGTATTTAATTTTTCATTGTTTGATCCCGGTGTGCGTCGGTCGGGGGAAGGGGAGAGTAATTTATGTTCAGCGTCTGGTTGTTCGGGTTGAACGTAAAACCGAGGTACAGTTTCGGGCGTATTCCAATGACAGCACTTTGAAGATTCCACGAGAAAACGAAATAAAAGTAAGCCGTAGGCTAGTGCCGGTGTTCGGTCATAATATCCCACTCAGCACACCGAATGCTCGCATATATTAGCCCGGTTGGAACAGAAATGTAAAAATTAAAACCCATTATATTTCTTGCAGGGTCTACACGTTTTTAAAAATTGTTATTTGGTCGTTTGTGAATCAGACATTTTTAATATGTTTTTCTTTGTTCAATACAAATGACACTTGAAACCATTATGTCCATAGAGTACACGATACCGTGTTCTGGTTTTAAAACGTTTATTATGTCTTAACGATTGGTTATTAGGATCCCATAAATGGACCAATATTCTCATGTTTTTATTTTCGAATATTATGGATTGCGTTAGAGGTTAGCTCCTTTACATAAATTTTAATGGGAATGAATAAATGAATGAATGAGCTTGTATCCTGATTTTTATTTTTTGCAAAAAAGCAGTTATTGATATGAGAATACTTTGATAGACATTAGAGGAACTATATAGACTATACCCTGCAGTGTGGCCTACGTGATACTTGAATAACCTTTATTTTTCGAGTCATACATTACGTGCTGAAATCAATATTTAATCAAGTCATGTATTGTCATAATATTGATAAAAAGAAAACCTGATGCATATCCCTATAATTTTTAAAGTTATTATAAGGCCTCATTTATACTCATTTCTACCTTTATGACACCTTGAATAGCTTTCGTCACGATTTCAGAATACGTTTGAGGTAGCCTATGTAAATCTGAAGCATTGGCAGATTTACTAAAAGTGCGCATGGGTCATAACTCAATAGTTTTATTGATATCCAAAGACGAGTTACCCTTTAGATCAACATCATTTTTTTAAATACATAATATTCCTATTTTCTAACTGCCGTATGATCTCATTGTTAACTGGCTTAAATCAAACTATCCGATCAATTAGTATGGCAATCACTAAAATATATCCATACAACTGAAATTTAACAAACAAAGCTCTTTTTTGTACGTAATGAAATGGGGTTTAGCGTCCAATCGGGCTAATGAGAGAGAGAGAGAGAGAGAGGGGGGGGGGGTGTCTTGCGCGTATGTGTCTTTAGCAGTGGGAGGAAACCAGTCTGGTTTCTCCCCTGCCAATGCTGCAGGAAGGAGGTAGGACCGTTTAAGAAAAGTCTTTCGGATGGGACAAAAATCAAAGGACCAACCGTGTAATCGTTAGCGTGGGCGTAAAATAACACTTGCAATCCAATGAAGTGTGGAAAGGCCACTGGCCGGACCGTTTAAGAAAAGTCTTTCGGATGGGACAAAAATCAAAGGACCATCCGTGTAATCGTTAGCGTGGGTGTAAAATAACACTTGCAATCCAATGAAGGGTGGAAAGGTCACACCCGGGGCAAACCTTCAATTCTAGCATGACATATTAGAGTCTTTATTATCCCGGTTGGTTCAGAAAAGTAGGCCTATGAACCCCATTTCATTTCATTTCTAATCTCAAAATCTGTCACATTTTGTAATACGTCATGACAAGATAAGTACATGTGACCTGATTCTATTCAGGTAGAGATAATTATGTTATTTCTGACACCAGGAACGACGTCAAGATTTAGTCTATTGATTATGTAGTTTGTTAATAAAGAATTATTGATGATCAAGCCGCGATGGAACCCATATCACGTTTCACGGTCAGTTCCCAACTTCATCAAAATAATTATTAGAATGCTGATGACAACACGCGAGTCGACATAATTATTCATGTAAGATTAGGAAACCTTTGATATCGCGGCCCTTATCTACAGTTATAATGCTGTGTTAATTAGAAAACAAAGCCGTCCTTGACGTCAATTTTTCTACTCAACAATATCGAGCCTCATTGCATGGAAGTTCTTCCTCTGTCGATTATATTTGAGATCTATATATTGGGCGTCACAGAAAAAACGAGTACACTATTTTAAGTGGAATAATTCGAAGTATATTATTATTCACATGTGGTACAATATGGATGTTTGACAGCTTCACTCCAAATTCCAGATCCATCGCTCAAATAGTGTTAACACAGTACGAGTTTTAAAAAAGAATGTTTAATCTTGTTTTGTCTGACTGAGAAGTCACATCACAATTTCTTGATAAAGACGGGAGAACCCTCGTCGAAACGGCGCCAGAAATAAACCTTTAACTTGTATTCCATATAATTATGTCATGTGTTACACCCACACCAGTTTACATAAACAAATGGTCAATATGTTCCCCGTCTTGCTCGTATTTGTGCATCTTATGCCCGAATATCATCTTTCATATTTCATTTTAAATAGTGTGCTCTTTTTCCTAGGCAACCCGATATGTCAGGGGCGGATACAGGAATTTTTGTAGGAGGAGGTTTGCCAGGTTCCTGTTAAGGAAATTTGACAGTTGACAATGCATGATGCCATCATCGTCTCCAGATTACGTATAGGCATACATCACACTGAACTTTTTAAAGAAAGAAATCATTGATGCAAAGCATTATTTGTGATATCACATCTATATCATTATCTCACGCTTCGAATGACCATCTCATCCCACCATTTGATGATAAAGGACAAAGCACACGACCGTGACACTTTTCTCATAAAAGTTTTGTTTTACAATTTTTTTAAGTAGCTAAGCAGAGGAGGGGGTGGTTGGACACCCCGCCCCTCCTCTGGATCAGCCCC